CCCCCCCCCCCCCCGATTCCCAATGTCTCATCTGTCGTGGCGCGCTTGTCGTAGCTACACTTCAGCGGAGGATCGATCGAGTACACGGCTTCTGAACTGGACGACTTCCTGGCGGAGATGGAGGCCAAGGTATCGAAACTTGTCATAGGTCTGATCGGGTTGCTGCCAAAATTCCGGAAAATAATCTGGCCCATTCGGCAACGTTTCGAGTTTTTCCTGCTTCCTCCTGACTCCTCGAGAGCTACCCGTAGGCACCTTGCGATATCGACGTGCTCGCCAATCTTTGAAGTAGACCCCGTCACGTAGCACCCGCAACGGTGACGCCTTTTTAGGAGCCAAGACTGCGCCACTCCGAGAGTGACAATGGCGCAATTGCTTCATTCATGTCGCATTCTCTCGGTATTTTGTTAGATGGAGTCTGGTGTGGAGAGGGCTATCGAGGCTACCGCCGGCGAGACCCCATGCTTCTTCTGGTGAGACTTGTTTTGACTCTTTTCAATATCAGTCCAATCACAACGCACATTTTAAAGCCTGCTGGGGAGGATGTGGCTGATGTGCCTTTTCTTGCATAGCCTGCTGGGGAGGATAGTCTTCCGTGTTTTTTTTTCTCGGCTTGATTTTTTTGTTTTTTTGTTTCGTCCGCTATCCCTTCCTGACTTTGATGAGACTTTGTTGTCTACCTCTACTGTTCTCTGTATTGTTCTCTCGTTCCTCGTGCGTATCAATTTACACTAACCGCGCAAACCGGCTTGACATGTAAGGAGGCGTCGCGCCGGTTTCTAGGTAAGGACTGTGTTCCCTGCTACTTGGTTTCGTCTTTCATGACCACGGCTGATTTCGTAGCGGGCCAACTAATGTGGAGAGATGAACCTTGTAAGAAGGGAAACATCGTGCCGAAGAGTCCAGATGGACGACCTCTGAGCGATTTGCAATGCTCAAAGTCGTCGCTTTATTCGTGTGAGGATATGGATGTCAATGCTTGTCTTTCCCCAGCGGACATTTAATCGATCCTGAACGTCTCCGTCGATGATTCTCTTTTGCGCCACGTTTCATTTACCGAACACTTTCAGGTACGAGACAACGGAGTACCACCCCGTGAACAACGGCACCGAAGACTACTTTGGACGTCCCCACGTCGTCGTGGACCGCACGAGGGTACGCGCTCAATTTGTCAACAAAAGCACACTCTGTTCTGTATTTTGCCATTCTCAAATGCATTCGGCTGAAATAGATATTGACTGAAACCCTGCATCGCTTTGCGCGAGACTATCGGGTATTTCTCCTCTCATGGAAGTGGATGTAGCAACGATGGTAGAACAGGATCGGTCTGACGAGCCGCGTCCATCAATCGTGACAAGAGACATTTGTGCACCTGAGGCTTTTGTGAAGGTGTTCAACGTTCGTCTACAGTGGGTGCTTGTCATAAGTCGATTTATTACTGGTTTGGCTGCCATAAGCCGCACGGCTGTCTTGAGTCGTGAATTTCGGCATCGTCGTACCTCTCGGTTGCTTTGCAGGCACACACCGTGCCCCTGTTCCTTGAGGGACCCACTCGCAGAATGAAGGTGCTGAAGACCAAGGAAGAGAAGAAGGCCCTTTACGAGCAGGTTGGATGATACTTCGAATGTATGTTGTTGTCATTGTTGGGTCTAGCCTTGAGCAAATTGAGCAACTTGAGAAACTTGAGCAACGGGGTTCGAATTCAGCGGTGGTCGTAAGACAGGCGGATTAGGTTAAGATCGAACATGTAGCACTCGCAGCAGACAGCAAGGGTCAGGAACAAGGTGGTCGTGGAAGGCAATAAAGAACGATTGTCAAGCGCGTGAACGATACTCTCTTCGGGTTTACACCCGCTTCTAAAGGGCACAGGCCTTGAGTTCCATAAGAAAACTAGTAAAATATGCCCCGATTCCTTTCCCACAATCACGGGCTGTCCTTGTCGCAAACCCTCAGATATCCGCGCTGCCTGTTGATTGTTTGAACCTGCACCAGGTTCTCAACAGCACGCTGTACGATGACGAGCTCAAGATGTACAAGATCAGCGAGAACCTCGAGGGGCAGCCCGAAGAGCTCGGCCGAATGCTGGCCTTCCCTCCCGGTTGGCTCGAGAACGAATCCATCTGGATGCACATGGTGAATTCACGTTCAGCCCGTCTGTCGTTTAGTCGTTGACGGAGGATTGGACGGTGCAGTGATATTGTGGTTGTTGCAGCACATTGGGTCATGAGCACAACGCGATCATCACAAGAGGGACGCGTGCAATTAATGTTGTGTTGGTGTACCATCACACGATGCGACAAAGTTCGCCTCTTTCCTCGACTTCGGCTGCCGATCCATCTCAGCATTTCTGTACTAATGTGATTTCGTCACCCCCCCTCCCTCCCCCCCCCGGTATTTACCATCGGGGTTGGGTTTTCGTCGCTTGGCAACGACGTTGTAAAACAAGCCGCCCCTCCCGGTGTTTGCCATCGGGATTGGGTTTTCGTCGCTTGGCAACGACGTTGTAAAACAAGCCGCC